GACGACAAGTGAGTTCATTCGAATTAACTTATGAATATCTTTTATGTTTACGAATGAATCTTTCTAAAATTTACATATATTTATTTTCAACATTAAACAACTAACTAACGTGCAACGCACGTTAACCACACTAGTACTGCAAAAATACTGTTTGTGCTCATCCGGAATAGCAAGTAGAAATATACAAAAACTGGAAAGACTAGGCCATTTAACTACAAAGGAATTATCAATCTAGATCTGTCCCAAAATAACATCTCCGCCTGAAACCTCAAATTCCGACAGCTTTTTCCACGTTGAGGACTTTGATTATCCCATTGACCACGTACGCTGACCGCCTGTGACAGAGCAAGGTGACCGTCTGTTGAAGCGTATAACTATGATGGAAAAACAGCAATTATTTGATGGAAAGAAGGGTAGAGCATCCATGCCTATGAGATCGAGGTCCCAGTAAAGCAGAAGATAGATCATATCATCAAATCCATACTTTTGTGCAAGCTCCCATCAAAATCTCCATAAAATTCAATCTGCATTGATTAGATAAAATGATATTTATCAAATCACGTAAGCTTAATTAATTCTTCTTGAACAAAAAAAAATGGAAACGCAACACTATCAGTTGGAAGTTTTAAAAAGTCAAAAAATGAAAGCCCTATACGAGTTTGCCTGGTACACAAATAAATAAACACATCCTAAAGGCAGTGCAAATGATGGCCATAGAAAGATAAAAGAAGCAAATTGCTTTCATCGTTAGCACAATACTATACCTTGAGATACACAGGACGGGTCAGTATAGTAGAATAAATAAGATTTTAGTTTTTTTTCCCCTTAAAACTGTCAAAGTGGGGTACTTATGTCCATACTAAACAAATTAGTAATTGTAATTAGATTTTCAAAAGTTTCATTTTTGTTGAAGTAGAATTACTGGCAAAATCTCCAACAACTCCACCCATTTTACTGCTTGTATCCTTTGCGTGGGTTAGAAAAGTAAAAGAAAAAGATTGACTTACAGCTTCTTTAGCCTGAAGTTCCTCTGCCCAGCCATTCATTACATAGGGGTCATTAACAGCGACACATATCACCGAGTCAATTCCTTTTGTCTTGAACTTATCAATGTTGTCCTTGTAGCTAGGTACATGCTGAGCCGAACAAACTCCAGTGTATGCACCCTTGAGATTGGTTAAACATGAAAAAAGAAACACCCATAAATGCATAAAAAAATTCACTAAGAGAAGCTCCCTAATATCCTAGTTTGTGTGACCTTCTGATTATAAAATTAGGGCGGATTAAATAATTTTATTCAGTCACTTACGTCCTGTCAATCAAAAATGGGAAATACGGGATGATTAGAAAAGGAAACGTCGAACCTTTTATTACAAGTTAAGCGTAATATAGATATATATTTCATCACCAACAGAACTAAAATAAGCCTTAGCACTAAAGAAAACATTGATAGCGTAGGACAACTTATTATAGAAGCAACTCAGATGTTCAAGATCATATTTCAGTTCACCAGGTTGTTTCTTGCCTGCCATGGATTCAGCAGCAATTCAAAAAGGTTACCCTATTCGGAAATCTCCATATCTATGCTTATTTTCAACTCCTCGAAGCATTTCATTGATTCCAAATTCAGTCCATGGATACAACAATTGTCATCAACTCCATAAATATGTGAAAGGACTAGAAACACAGCTGCATACTATAATTCACTTTCCATACTAAAGGAATGACTCAAAAATGCTTTAAAAAAATTTCCTTTGTTAAAAGAACTATGAAATAATAACAGAATTCACTTCTGTTCTCAAAGTGATGCTCTTGACACAAAAATGCCATTTCCTAAATTTCCATTTTTTAAAATTAAGGAAAAATTACACTGATTTTACCAAAAATGGGTTTACATATTTCATTTCCTCTTGTACGTGTGTTAAATTTATAAATGCAGATGAATATAACTAACTTACAGGGAGGCCAAAGATGACAACTTTTTTATCTCCTGAAAAAATCACAATACAACAAATCAAACCCTAAGCGGTTAAATAAAATAAAAAATAATAATTTGAAAACCTCAAAATTTAAACAATTGGGACCTTGAAAATGTCCTTGAGAGGAGTAGTGGCGAACTTGGAAGAGACCCCCTCATCCCAGGAGCGAGCCTTCTGGAGGGAGACATCTGGTGCAGTCGATAGCAAATCCGTGCCCACTGCAACCGATGCATAAGCCCTTGATGCCCCGAAGCTGTTGACGATTGACTTAATCAACCCCGTTCGTTTCATTAATACAGAAGACGCCATGGTTTCTCCTTTCAATTTTCTTGATTTCAATAGTTTTTTGGGGAATGAGTTCAAATGCCCAATCCTCACAAACATTTTGTGTAAATGC